TTGCAGTGATTGAAAGCTTCTGGCTGGCAGCATTCTAAATTGCGACTATTGTATCAAAGCAACCAGATTAGTTGGCATTGAGGATGCTGTCGCCCAGGAGTAGCGAAACGTTGGCGTAGAAGATAGCCATCGACCAGCGTAAAACAGTTTGGAAAATAAAGGGCAAATCTCGCCGTTTTTAATAATTGTACAGTGGATAGAATAGAACCACAAAAACTTAATAAAAAATGGTAGATATCGTAACTGATATTATCAATGTGAATGTGAGTTTGTTTGTCAGCTTTTAAGGCCTTAACTACTTAACCGATCAACATAAAATTTTGTACACATTGTCAGGGTATAGAATAGCACATATGGTACCTTTTATTCAAAAAAAATATTGTTCCCATGGGATAGAAAAAAATAGTTCTATGTGGTCGATTTCACGCCTTAACTTCTACTCAACCTATCATCAAGAAATTTTGTACACACATTGTCAGGGGAACAAGAAAGAACATAGGATACTTTTTAACCAGAAAAAATATTGTTCCCGGGGGATAGAAAAAAATTAGTTCTATGTCGTTGATTAGAGAAAACTTGTCAGGTGTACAGAAAAGAACATATGGTACCTTCTATCTAGAAAAAAATATGCTGTTTCCAAGGAATTAGTTTTATGTGGTCGCCAATGATTTTTAACACGTATTTAGGACATCATCGCAAGCGAAGCCGCGTGTAAAATCTAATATCTAAATAAAGGAAGCAATAAATAATTAGAGCCCTTATTATCATTTAACGTCGCGAAACCGAACTATCACTAACAGGAGGGGAGAATCCTTTTCTCTAGGACGTATCTCTATCAACTGCATCAAGCAAAGGAAAATATACTATTTGCAAAAAAGTTTTTATAAATATGACAAAAATATAACAAATCATTGTCAAAATCGACAATGTACTGTCTTGATAGTTAGTAAGTCGACAGAAAAGGGAAACCACCACATTGTTTTCAACTATATATTAACTATACTCGGTTAACTTGCAATGAATTTTGTTATAGGTATATCTGCCATAAATATACTACCGTTTACTAACTATACTGCATGTGTTTGTCGCAATAGATTTCATGTTGGGAAATATTTTCGTTTAATGCACGTACCTACGTACCTTTAAAGAATCACAAACCAGATTAAATTAAATGAAACCTTAGTCCATAACATTGAAAAACTTATACAATTTTATATAAATATGATTTTTAATTGAGAAACCTTGAGGGTTTACATGTATATTATACGGTATAATAAGCTTTCTGAAAATAATTGAATAAATATGATCTACATCTGCAGAATTTGAAAAGGGTGAAAATAGGCAGAGGAATTTTTATAACTTTCTAACTTAGTAGTAGTTAAATGAAGACGAGTAAGCATTGATCCATATGTACCATTAAGATTTTAGTTTTAGCAGTTAAAAACTACAAATTACGAAAAAGTCCAGGATTCATTATAGTGATCAAGTGCTGACTGTTTTAAAATAAAAATAAAATAGTTAATTTCTTATTTTCTGAACTTTACATTTCTTGAAAGTTACTGGCTCTTGTAGCAGCATATTTGGACGAAAGTCACTTCCATGGTCACTCACCCACGTAACAATAATTCACAGAGAAAATGCAAAAGGAAAATTAACCTAAATATTAAAACGATATTTACAATTTAACCCACTAACTCGTTGTTTCGTAAACAAAAATAATAAAAATTACAATTTGGACCCGAATTTGTAAAAATAAAATCCCAGCAGAAATAAATTTACTGGGTATTTTAGTTGGTATTACAAATTTGATTGTAATAATTAAGAAACTTGAAATAATTTTTAAAAACACATGTCAAAATTGAGATTATTACAAGTTACCTAACAAATTCTACCGTTTCTACGGCAAATTCAGTCATTTAAGCAAAAACTAATCCTTATCCTAAATCCCTTATAGTTTCGTTACAAATTGACTCGAGTTACATATTTGTAGCATTCTTTTTTCAATTTTCTAAGGTTTACGAACACTGAAATGTAGTGACGCAGCATCCCCAATCCAATTTGATGCTATGGATAACATTTAATATAATGAGTCTGTTTTTCTGTAATTCCTTTTAATGCTTGTATTATACAACCCTTAGCCCGCATCGCGTATTTTATCAAAAGTGAACCCTGGGAATCCCAAAATGTCCATAGCTACCAGAAAATGTCGTTTGAAGTAATTTCTGGAACTAATAGCAATTGATCTTCAGCCGAAATTCTTATTTCTCTAAAACTAGAGCAACCAACATCTTTAACTATTTGCAAACAATAATTACCTCTTTTAACTCCTGTTCCTGCTTCTTATATGTATCTACCTCTAGGGGTCCTACCAGTCTATCTTTATCATCATCATAAGGTCGTCAGTTGGACACGCACCTCCACTCTTTCCTATCCTGAGCTAATCTTCGCATTTCCCTAAAACTAGGTCTACCTCTATCCCTCCTAACACTCTTTTCTACCTCCAATATGTCTCTGACTAGACCTTCATGCTTGAAAAGGTGTCCTACCAACCCATCTCGTCTATCCCTTATTAACTTCCATTTATCCTACTGTTTCTAATAGCTCCTCATGTCAGACATCTAAAAGTATTAAAAGAAGTTCCGTTTGAAACAAAGGTAGGATGGAGGACAACATCTAAGACATGACATTAAAGACATATTAGTAACAGAAACAGGTCAGGGTGAAGGGGAGCTGGGCAGAGGAAAAGGGAAATATGATTAACTGTGACTGACAACTCAATAACGATGACGACTCCAGTTTTACACCTAAAATATTTTATTGGCCAAATATTATAACTAATTTTTTTTTGAGTAGTATTAATTATAAAACGATTCCAGACCAAAAGTCGCTTATAGACAGCCCAATTAACGATCTCAATGTTTCTGGCTGGCCAATCAGAATGGCGCTGACATTCCCTTGAGGGTCTTTATCTTGACCTTCTAAGGAGAATGTGCATAAATCACTGTCGACCTACATAAAGTTTTCTTAAGCCTATTATCTTGTATCGATTCCTTTAACCCTTTTGTGGTTAGTTACACATGCTTATGAAGCATTTAATACCTTTAATGGTAGTAGTAGATTTCGCACCATTAAAGAACCCACTGGCATAATCCGCCTTTCACGTTGAAGTGCATCGCATTGCTTTGAACTTTACAGTGAAAATAATTACTTTGAAGTTTATAGATTTTGTGATAAGAGTTACCTTACGTAATCATCATGAGCTGAGAGAAGGTAAAACATTTAAAGATAATTATTAAAAATTACTATTGATAAAGAGGATGGAATATTATGAAACATTTTTAGATAAATAAATAATTAAAGAAAAAGAAAAGATATTGCTTTTTAGTATTCCAGAGGTTTTTATTGCATTTCTGTATATGTTGCAGGTAATATAAAGACTTAAGACGTCGACATATACTATAGAGTTTCAATAAAAACATCTGAAGCACTTAAGCACATGTTTAATTTATTACTATTATAATATGAACTAATTTTAAGCCATAAATTCGGGAATGAATACAATTATAGTTTTAAGATCAAGATGGCTGTACGAAATAATCGGATCAGTATTGACTGAAGTTAGCATCAGGAGATATTGAATGCATCAATTAAAAAATAGAAAAGTGTGGTATTTAACTAAACAGCGGGGAATATAAACGACAATCGTAAAACTAATTTTTCAGAATAAAAAACAGAAAATGTTCTATGTGCAATGTAACAATGATTCAGTGAATTTTAAATGTAAATGTTGTTAAATGACAGCTGTCAGGGTAGTGTTCCTAACTTCACTTTGCTTTATCAAACACGAGGGTTACATCATTTTTTACTTCACTGAAGTAAAGCAGATGTAAATCACGACTAAATTTCTGTCTCTCAGAGTCTTTCAGAGTCTTTCAGCGTCTCTGAGAGCGTCTCTCACAGTCTCTCAGTTATTGCCTAGGTGTTTTTATGGATCTCTCACAGTCTCTGTATGAGAGACTCGAACGATAAAATTGTTAATTCAGAGATTCGAGTCTCTCACAGAGAGACTGAATGAATAAAACTGAAAAATTGAGAGACTCGAGTCTCTCGTAGAAAGACTGGGATCTCTGAAATATGTTGAACTTAGAAAATTTTAACCATGTCTATCGAGACACCACTTATTGAGAGATTCGAGTCTCTCGTTCAGAGATTCGAGTCTCTCGTTCAGAGACTGGATACGAAATGAGGATCTCTCTATGAGCGACTCGAGTCTCTCGTTCAGAGACGCTAAACGGTTTTTTTGACAGTCTCTCGACAGTCTCTCTCAGCGACACCAGAGAGACTCGATGAGAGACGGAGACTCGAGTCTCGCTTTCAGAGACTCTGAGAGACTGAACATTTTTATCTCGAGAATATACGTTGTTAAATAATTGATCTACATGCAATCTTAAAAATTTACGTTCTGCACGTTTTCAGCTATAATGGACAAACTGTCACTGCCAAATTTGCATTTAGTATTTTAAAAATTAAAAATAGAAATTTTTATTTTTAAAATAACCTTAAAAATAGAAAATAGAAGCCACTTGAAATGAATAACATGCGTAGTTGTTTCCTGAAACTTCAACAGCGAGGTGGCTTTGAAATTGTTTTCAATAGCCCAATATGTTACGTGGTTTTCAACGTTTTCTGTCTGGCATACGCGCACCTACATTATAAGCGGTATAAACTATAACACATGTAGTAAAACATTTGTAAACAGAATAACATTGAGGTAAGCGTTTTACCGGATATCATCCTCTTCATTATTTATCTCAATGTACATCCATTGGAGGAGGCAGTCGAAGAGGGCATTTCAAACTTTTATTACACCTCTTTCGCTTTCCCAACGATAAACTTTGCATATAAACCTATATACACATAGATATGTATTCGCACTTTATATGTGTGCGCTTTTATTTTTATACCTCTTAATTTTCGGTCATCATTCTTCACATAAAAACTAAATTTAACTCGGAAATACAATACAATACGGTTGTAATGATACGAATTCTGGTGGCATATAAACACAGAACATCCGATGAGTGGTTTTCCAAGCTGTTCTCATCAGTAATGTTGTGGATGTCATGCCTAGTGCTCTGGTGTTTTCGGATAAGTTTGTTGGTGAAATGGTTTTAACACAAATTTTAAATTTCAATACGTTTCAGGTAAATATCTATCTCTTCAAACGCTTTTAATCGCATTTATCAACAAAACTCGTCATTTATTTTCATAATCACGCACTTTTGAAGATTGTGTGTCAAACAAAATTGATTTCAATTCTATACATATTATAAAGCATGTCTCTATGAAGAAGAATGTAATAAAATGCTGTATTAATGAAAATTCGAATTCCTTATGTAACGTATGATTGTAACGTAAATTTCGGAAATTCTGGCGTTATAAACAATGTTGAGATGTACTTTTTGAAAATTATAAGTGAAAAATTCAACAAGTCCTGCATTATAAATAATTTTCCCTAATTATAAGTCAAATACCAAAATTAGGTACTTTCCAAATTTCTGCTTTCTTCAAAAATTAGGCGCATATCTTTATGAATAATTAGACATTACTGTAACCTTGGAGGGATTGACGAAACTTCCATCAAAGTAAAATAATAACCCTTATTTTCAAACAAATTACATTCTTTTATCATTAATAGGCATTACCTAACTTACCTAACCAACAGGATACAACTGACTAGGACTCCTGTCTAATAAACACTTAGAGCTGTCATAAGACATGAGCTAAGTAAACTGAATTGATCTTTATGAACAATTTTTATAAAGCACAAAATACTTGTTTAACGCTATTAAAAATAAGGAAATTAATATGAGATTTTTGAAGCAAAGATTCTATGTTGTAACCTTCTTTGCGTTTATTTGGTTTTCGAATGGATCATGGATTGGTTTTAGACTAACAACACTTAGATACTATTTTTCGACCGTTACTGCAAAAATTTTATTTAATGAATTAAAGAAATTTATGCGAAGCTAATTGAACCAAGAGTTCCACGTTTAACAGAACTCATCAATTGTCGAAAATCATCTTTTTACTTTTTCCGATAACTTGACTAATATGAAAACCTTCTAATAATTTTTTGCCTTTGATATGACTTTTTAGTCTAAAAGCTAAGAGTCAGCTTCTTCTTGGTAGCCTTTTTTCGTCATAGCTTCAATAAATGATACAAACAACGTCTTCATCATTGTCTGAAAGTCGTTGTTTCTTTAAGACAAGCATGAGCAATCCCATTTTTCAAAATGGTGGCCAAGAGAGAGTGCTTGGGTTTTGCTGACTAAGTAATAATACCAAAAAGGACTATAAAATAAAAAAAAACAACACGTGCAACTCAGTACACGTAAAAGAAATGAAACTGTTTGCGATCTCTATATCTTTATAACAAATAAGTAATGATTGGTGAAAGAAAGAGAGAGAACGAGAATTTTCAGGATTTATGTTTTCCAACATATTTTATCTTTAGTCCCGCTAAGGAGTATTACTTTAATACGTTTTTATGTAATTCAATAACAAAAAAATGGTCAAATTTTTTTCGCTTTCGTTTATTTTTCCAAGTGCTTAAGAAACCGTAAACTATCAATAACTACAAGGAATTAGAATTAATACATAACAATACTCACTCGTAAATAAATGTTAATTGTTGTTAAATAAACAGTTACTGTAATATAGTTAGTGTAATATAACTGCACAGATATAACCAAAAAATTAATTTAGCACTATAGTATGGTGAATATAGATTATGTATACTATTATATATGAGATGCTGATCACTAACAGCTCACTGTAATACCGATATGCGTATGTGCGCTTTTCTATTCTCATAGCCTAGCGCTTTCGCGAGACAAAACGTTGCAAAACGTGTCGTTTCATGGCCTTGAGATTTTACTCTCGTAGAGCCCATCTAATGTCTTGGATGCGCGCTAGCAAAATCGTAGGTAGGGAGAAAAAAGCTCATTATATTCTCGACTCTTGTTCATTAAACATACTTTTTCATACAGTACCTGCCAAAAGTTTTGTTAAATTATGAATAGTAGTGCGAGTCGGAAACAAGCGTTAAAGCCTTTAGTATGACATCAAATATAAATAAACATCTCATTGATATTTTCAGTAGTAAATGGTACCAATAAGAGCACATTTGAGCAATGCAATTGTAGTGGATAAAATGGTCAATTTTTCCGTTCAGTACTGCACGGATTATAGGCTCTTCACCGATTATGAGTTTGCCGAGAGTTGTCTCCTTTCTTTTCTGGCCTAGTGCTGTTCTTTTCTACTTTGCGCCGGTCAAACTGAAGGTCACATCGCAACAGAAACTAAACGAAGTATAGTTTTGTCGTAATTCAGTAGAGTGAAACTTGAAAGAATAATTTTTACTCGGTAAAGCCACGTACAAACATTACTCGCTTAATAATGTATCACAAATATTGTTAAAAATTAATAGTTAACACTGCCAGCNAATGGTCAATTTTTCCGTGCAGTACTGTACGGATTATACGCTCCTCACCGGTTAAGAGTTTGGCCGAGAGTTGTCTCCTTCCTTTTCTGGCCTAGTGCTGTTCTTTTCTACTTTGCGCCGGTCAAACTGAAGGTCACATCGCTTCAGAAAGTAAACGATGTATAACACACTAATTTAATCTAGCATACTTATTACCGTAACCATAAACAAGTATTGTAAGGTAGATTTCAGATATATTAAGTTGATGGGCATTCCTTTCTACATTGCTGAACGCCAAAAAAAAATAGTAAATAACTTCAATTATCTTTTTTTATACAGTAACTACGTACTTGTACCCTATAAATTTTGAAAGTAAAAGTCGCAGCTGATGCAATATATAATAAACAGCTTTCTGTTCTAAGATTTACAAAAGGAAAAACTTGGCTTCTTCTTCCGATCTAAACTGTCTACTAAAACGTTATTTATGTTTGATTTCGAAACTGAAACTTCGTTTCCGTATCTAAATAGCGCGGGTAATAGCAAAGTTTACTTAATCCGCCACTACACAGAAGTCTCTGTCGGCTGGTAAATTGCTTATAGCACTTGAGCTTTCTGTAACTCAGTAATAACTCTACCATTTGCACGAAAATAAAAGGAAGAGGAAAGCTGAGAACTTGATCATCCTCAATCTTCATTTTATTATATCGTCGAGAAAATATGTCATGTTGATAATAATGATATCATGAAATTATAATTACCCTCACCCCGGTAAAACGAATTTTGATTCAGAGTTGTAGATACCAAATTCTGATTCTTCAACTAACTAATTTAAGAAAAAAGGGTTTTAAAGGGTAAAAATTTACTTTTGTAAAAACTACAACGATATTTCAGATAATATCCATCTTCGCAAAAGAATTACTTTAAATAACAGTTAAGTAAACTTCAGTTTTGTATTTAAATCACTTTTCTTAAAGAATAATAATCAATGACAACTAATTAATCTGAAATAATTAATTGGCAAAGTTCAAAAATCCATCACATCTTCGGGGAAAAGTTCCCCTTGTTCATCTAATTAAGCACCCACATCATTTTTGAGTTAATCCAAGTAAGCATGTAGCATGTACGCACTTTAAAGGATATTCTCAAACCACGTTTTATAATTCTCTGATCTGTTGTAGTCTGCAAAATCCATGAACTTCAACTTCATAACAGTTTCGTAAATATTAAGTAATTGCATGAATTTGTCACTATCATTATTTTCTTAATTTTTAGTCCGACGAATATGCCCACTTTCACGTTATCTTAGGATAATTTCGAAAAAAAAATCTTCAAATACTGGAAAGCATTCGAATATTGATTAAGAAACTTCACGAATTGTTTCATTATATTTAACTTTATATGTAATAAAGATAAGAATACTTCCTTGGTCTCTAAAATTGGCTCCTATTTGATATCTTCTTGTAGGGATCTCAATTCTTTTAGGTCATGTTTGCTGTTCATTATATACTCTGTTTACCCTGCTGAGAAATAAGTAAAAGCAGCAAGGATATTTAGTCCACCCACCTTTCATTCCAATCAGAAGAATAATCTTAAAATCCTCTCTCATTGGTTAGTTACTTCAACTTATTGTTAGTTCAGATATTGGAACGATTTGTATCTTTAAAAGACTGTATTGGGAAATGAAAACATTATCTCAATTTCGGAGGGATTTTCTGAATACATTTTAGGTCCTCCTGGGATTTAAAAATCCCAAACGTGTTACTACCTGCTACTTATTGGTACTGATAACCGAGGCGCGGAAAACTGGCTCAGTATATACCAAGGCAGTATAGGTTCCATTCGTTTCTATTCGCTAGTTCAAAGAGAATTTGATTTGATGTGGACGACATTTGTGATTTTAGTCGTTTTATTAAATATAGTCGTAATCATCCACTATGTCCTATCATTATTATAAAAACGTCGGTCCTATAAGACTGATTGGACGTACTCTTTCCTATTAGCTGATCTTAGCATTTCCCTAGACCTAACTATTTACATCTACTCCACTTAACTCCTATTTTTGCTTCTAATATGTCCCCAAGTAGCGTATTCATGCCTAAGAAGGTATCCTACCAACCTATCTCGCCTAATTTCATATTGTATTCCATAGCGCCCCCTGTTCTTCTACTCTTTCTAATATCTCCTCATTTCTAACCTTCTTTATCCACGGCATCCTCATTATTCACATGCAACACCACATTTCGAACGCTTACTATCTACAAAGTGAATATAAAAATGCCACAAACTTTTTCTCTTCGTGTAACCAACAAACTAAAATCAGCAACAGTTCCGTTATAATGTTTACAATTTTAAAAAAAATTTAATAGTAGTCGAATTGTACGTTTAGTAATGGACTATAAAATTTTTATGGACTCAACGTACGAATACAACTACCACTATGCTTTACATCTTCATACACATACGTCTTTAACTGCTTTATTTTTACTTTTAGTATTGTTTAAAAGGCCTTGTATTCTGTTCAAGCTATTTAATGCAATGGCAATGCTAAAATTAATACAAAAATGTACCTAGGTAGTACTATTCCTGACTCTAAACTTTTGAATTTACATTATCCCATCAGTCACCCGTCTGCAGATCTTCAAATAGCGTCCTTGTCTAATTCCAAGCTTACATTTGCGTGTGGTAACCTAAATATGAACTCCTTTTAAATAAACTCCGACTTATTGTTAATGCTATTGAAATTGTATTTATTGTAGGGGTACGAACCGTGTACTTTATTTAAGACAGAAACAGGCAAGAATTCGTAAATAATTCAAACAGTGGGTAACGTTGTTGTTTTACACGATTGTTGAATGAAATTTGAAATTCTAAAGGAATTCTTCGAAAATACTAAATTGTTTATCTTTTTCTTGGTGTTTTAAACTTGCCTTCAAAAACTCGGTAATATAAGAGGCTTTTCACACGAGCTACATTTTGTAGCGCTTCCGTTACGCTACAGTATCGCGACGATTGCTAGTTCGCATGTATAAAGAGCGATTCTTTGCAGCGCTTCGATATTGTTGTCGATGTAGTAACGTATCTATTTTAAATTTAAAAAAACAGTTATTAAAATGAAGTCGCAGAAGGAAGACGAAGAGGAGCTTACTTTATTAGCGCTTCTGATAAATAAAAAAAAATACAATGTGCAATTATTATACAACACGCTACTGAAGTGAAACGTCTTCAAACACACAAACATACCGGGATAGGGGTTACGGAATTGATTTAATGGTATTATTTGTACACTATGCTTCGCACGGGTGCAATGCTGGTAGTAACTATACCATAGAATGTCTTTATATACAACAATCACAGCTTTTTTGTCATTAGAGAATGCAAACCGGCCGGTACCGCCGCAACCGCTATGTCCCTGCATTTTAAACCTGTAATATCTTCGAAAATATTCATTTAAATTACATGCTGTAAAGGGTCATAGTGGTCTATATTAAATGCACAATGTATTTAAAAGTACTTAATTGGATAAGGATTAATGCTGTATTGCTTAAAATCGCTTCGTAAATAAGCCATTAATTCTCGTAAAAAATAAAGGATAAAAAATAGTTATTGTGGGTTATCCCTAAGAGATAGACATATACTATCGCGGACTTTTTTTTAGACCATTTTAAGGTATACAATACTTTAGTATATTATTTTGATCTATCTCGTAGGGTTCAGTCAACGTTTGCAATGTAAGCGCAAAAAATGTTTATTTACGACATCACATTACAAACCTCTAAACTTATCAGTGTTTCTACTATATTATGCATGTGTTATACATACATACCTTTCTCTTGAATTACTCTATCTACTAAAAAAAACGCATTAAAATCGGTTGCGTAATTTTAAAAATCCAAGCATACATAGGGACATACAGCAGGGGAAATACGTTGCATGATTTCGTTACATAGCAACTAGCATGAAACGAACTTAATCTACCGTGCGTAAAGAAGTTTCACTTAAAAAAAAAAGCAGAATATAAAGAATCGGAAATATTGGGTCGATTCTTAAAACAGCAATCGATTAATAAAAGGATTTCTATACATCGTTCCAAGATTTATGTCGAAATAAAAAGTTTTTCAGTCATTTCTTCTTCGCATGCATTGCCTTATATAATCTGCACTGCAGCTATTCCAAATGCAGTCTTTGCAATTATGACATTTTCGACGTCGACATTGTCCTTCATTGGTTTGTCGCGCACCTCTAAAAATACGCCAGTGTAGAAGAGTTAACATTAGTAAATTATATCTTAGTGAAGAGCAACAATTGCTCGATTTTTCAGCTGCGCGATTCAAGCGACTGTAGCGCTACGTTTTCGAAGCGCTGCTCTCGTGTGAAATCATCGATTTAAAACAGTGGATTTCAAAAGATCGTGCAACTGTAGCGCCTCAGAAGCACTACAAAAAGTAGCCCGTGTAAAAGGGCTCTAACACACAGCTGGGCAAACTCGGCTCTTTTGACCCCCCGGGTGCTCCTCAGATATAGCCAAGGAGCTCCTCATTGCTCCTGCGAATGCGAGTGAGATGGTTCTTTTCTTTTCTTACACCTTCCATTTCGTTGATGAGTCCCCTCTTCGATAACCGAACCCAATAGTATTGCTAACGTAGTCCGGCATGCTCCCCCTGGGCTGCGGGACGATCGTTAGAAAATTTTCGTAGGTATTATTGAAGTTGCGAGAGAGGCTTCGCTCGTCTACGGGATGAAGGGGCTTGATATGGGAGTGGAAAGGAGAAGAAAGAGAGGAAGCAATATATGGGTTATTACTGCTTACTATCTCGTACTCATTGAAGGGTATGGAGTGACCCAAACTAACCTCAGGTAGCGGCTCCTACGAACTTAAAGTTTGCCCAGCTCTGTTCTAATATGTTGTCCAAAAGATAAATCACTTAGAAAGTTTTATTCGAAAATTCAAAAGGATAATGCTGAAAAGTTGTATATTTTATCATGGTACTAGCCTTACTGCTAGGTACCTGGTACTTATTTTCTGGATGAAATAACTCGCTATATAGAAGGCAATAAGGAATAGGTGAGATAGGTTAGTAGGAAACCTTCACAGGCACGAAAGGCTTGTCAGAGATATGTTAGAGGCAAAAACGGGAATTAGGAGGAGTAGAAGTAGACCTAGATTAGATTACCATTCGCAAATAGTTAAGGATGTAGGATATTCTAGGTTCAGGGAAATGCAAAAATTAGCTCAGGATAAGACAGAGTGGAGGTGTGTGTCCAACCAGTCTTAGAACTGACTGCCGTATGATGACGGATGTTTACTTAATATTAATTATATTATCTACTACCTATGGTGTGTTGGAAATTGGAATTCACATGTGATGGTTTCAACAAATGTTCTTTCTTTAAATTGTAGCATTTACTTATTATCGTTTTATAGGTGGGAGTCTTCATCAAATCGCCACTCTCTTGAAATCGAAAGTTTCCCACAAGTGTAAATGGTACAATGTGAAAAGGGTAATGCGATTCCTCGGCAGGGCGAGTAGTGAGCGCCTGTACCGCGAGCGCCACTTTTCCTCCCGGCGCTCGTCGTCCCGACGTCACTCCCTGAGGAAAATAGAGGAGGAATTGTCAACAGGAGGACCTGTTGCAGCACCTCTTCGTCGCACGCACTCGTTGCCTGACCTGACATTCAATTCTGGAATGGACATACTTAGAGGAGTTTACACATTAACTACGGTAACTCTTCACTTTCTTCGTTCATTGGTCGCCCACAGAATCATATTTTAAACATACAATTTTAATAAGATAATTCGAAGTGGTCTGTATTCTGTCGATACTGCCGGACGCGGATCGCGATTTCGATCTTTTTGGATCTCATCAACGCGTCTGAGGCAGCTCCGACAGAACACAGACCAACTTTTACCTGCTGTCTTAACAGCGCGTTTTAGAAAATACCACAAATGGCGCAGTAAACGCCACCTGTAGCACGATGCTACATTTTAGGATTACGTATGCTCCAAAATTTCTAAAATTTTAATAAGCTTTTTGGAATTTCCAAATTGGCAGCACCCGTGTTGAGACTAAAGCACAGCACTGTTATCTTTATTCTAAAGAAAGTATCATATTGAAAATGAAATATATTAAACTTGTGAAAGCTTGTAAAAAAAACTGCTACATGCCAGTCTTTTTTGAGTATAATTTCAAGTTTCTACAGTCATTCGCCTATATTTGCTGATAACTGAATTATTTCATGTTATTAATACCTAACTTTCAACCCCCAAAGGTTGCAACACACTGGAAAATTGCTGATTGCACTAGAAAAAAGAGATGAGTTTAAGAACATAAACATGAAAAATCGGTCAATTTGATAAGCAATAATTAAATTATTTTGTTTCTTTTGACCGTTTATTGCTATTGACTGTATGCACCATAGAAACGCATTTTTATGATGAGACTGCGACAAACTAAGTAGAAAATGCAATTTAATGATTACTTCAGTTTAACTATCAATAGCCGTAAATAATTTTATAGCTTTAAAAGCATATTGAGATCTAAATATTATCTGCGACATCTTTCGGATAAAATTCGATTAGGTATACTCTTAAATCTTTTTGAAAACTCATTTTGTAGTAGATGATAGCATTGTATAAGCAATTTTTGTTCAAAATTTCACGTTCTTGACCCAGAGGGGTTTGGGCTGTGCCTTGATCTATATATCAAACATTGAATACCTTTTGGGGGTTGAATATAAGAACAACATTGTAATGATGTACGTTGACATATCAGCCAATCAGTTTATCCGTTCATACATACAGATTTACTAAATATTATGATGTAAGTACCTATAAAAAATTATTTAGCTCAATTAATTAGGTCAGAACGTGTCCTGAATGCTAATCAAAACCTCTCCACAAACTCTAAAATATATAACGAAACAACTCCAAGCCTTTGCATGATCGTAACTGTAACTTTTAATTAATTTAACATACAATCTCTGACAGTAATTCCTCCACAAGTATCCATCAAATTATTATCTTATCCCTATCAACGATCCAACTACTCTAAACTTATCGTAATTTTCAATAAACTTTCGGATGAATATTTTAATGCAGATTTATACAATAAAAATAATTGTTACAGCAAGCTTAGTTTCCATAATTATCATAAAACTCGTTTTTTTTTATTTTATAACATTTTCATTAATTTTTGGTTTGTCCTTTTTAGGGAAACCATATTACAATCGACTCTTTAATACTAAGATTACACAGCAACGCCACGGTTATATTGCTAGTGACTTTTTCCGTTGCCATTACAACGAGACAATACGTGGGGAACCCCATAGACTGCGTTCACACAAGGTAAGCATTAAGGATGGTTTACACGTTCACGCTATACTGCTTCCGGTCCGAATCGTGTGTACGTTGAGTCCGTGCTATAATGCCAAGTCCGACCGAGCTAAAATATAAGTAGTAAAAACTCGGTCTTGTAAGTCAGGATCCATAAAAATATTTTTGCGTCTTATTTACCTAATCTTTTTAATTCATTCGCTATATTGTATCGCAAGGGTGTCTCATATCTAGCATGTAAAGCCAAAAAACACTGTAACAATATTCAACGTACCAGCGGCCAATTGGCGTGCCGGGACTATCCACAGGAAGAGGATTCAACTTTCGATCGGAGACACGTCCAGTTTGTATAATTTGTGTCCGTGCCTCTTCCGAGACTCGGTTTCGATCCAAAACGGTTTAGTGTGAATCATGAGCTGCCACTGTCCACAAGAGAAAATCATTTTCCGGCAGGAGACACGTCTGATTTGTACAATTTACGTATGTCCGTGTCTTGTCCAAGACTCGGCTTAGATCCAAAACAGTGCAGTGTGAATCATCATTTATGTCAGCTTTTTACACCTGTTGAGGTCTGGTAATGTTGACGAAGAAATCAAATGTGTTAGTGGACATCTCTCTTCCTTTCACTTACTGCTTGCAGATAGAGATAGAGCTGATGAAGTAGATTCGATTAGTCTGCCATCTGCCGAATATATTCATTGGAATGTGGATGTCTATTTTATGTGTTTATGACATTCTATAGAATAATCTCAAAAATTGGTCTTCTTTTGGGGTTCTTCTCCTTATTGGGAAAAAGCTTTCCCTATGTCCTTCTCCTGTCCTCTATGCTACACCCACCATCATGCCACAGAGTGTAAAGGCTGTTCAGTAGTTTTCTTACTAGTTACAGATAGATACCATGATCTTGTTCTCCTTATTGGGAAAAAGCTTTCCCCATGTCCTTCTCCTGTCTTCTCTCCTACACCCACCATCATTCCGCAGAGTGCTAAAGGCTGTTCAGTAGTTTTCTTACTACTTGCACATAGATACCATGATGATCTTAGTATGTAAACAAAATAAAACCAGCCATTTTGATGGTGCGAAATCCTCGGTACGCAATTCGTCTAACTTAAAAACAGCTGTCGACCAGAAGGACAAAACAATTGAGACATTAACCACGTTTGTTTTTACTTCTGTTTTAGCCTTTCCGCTTTTCGATCATTACGGATTAGGTGCAGGGGAGTGTGTAAAATTATTTTTAGTCGCACAAAATGTGCTAATGCGAAATAGTGTTGTAGACGTTGCTCTGAATTGCGAGTGTTGAAAAGGGAAGTCGACGCTTACTTATTATTTCATTTGCAAGTGGAAAATCATTCGCAATTCTAGACGATTTCAAAGCACACGGTATTTACTTTGTCGACAGATGAATCTACTGTCTGTTGCAGAATGACGTTTGTGTTTATTACTTTTTTATAATGACCGGCCGTTTTATTGTAGCTTGTGCAACTCTTCATTAACTAGACTTTGAAAAAACAAACTCGAGAAGTGTTGTTTCTTTTCAATTTGACTTTTTGTAAATATCGAATTTTTCATACTCGACCTATGCCTAGTAGTGACCCAGTTACGTCTTGGGAAGTTATTAAAACTGCTTACATTTTCAATATCAATTATGAACTGCCGAGTGTGAATGAACTTTTGATATTAGGTTGTCTGGCAGAAACTTAAATTACCGTCAAATGACAAAATCAGTTTTACATATATCATTCAATACAAAAAATATTTTCATTGACAGCAGTAAAAAGAGGCTTCTCGTCATCATTATCATAAGGTCGTCAAGACTGGTTGGACACGTACCTCCACTCTTTCCTATACTGAGCTAAACTTCGCATTTCCCAAAACGAGAACAACCCACATCCCTAATCTAATCAAAGTAATCTAATCTAGGTTTCCCTCAACTCCTCTTAGCTCTTGTTTCTGCCTCTAATACGTCTTTGGCTAGACCTTCATGCCTGAGAAGTTGTCCATTCCATAGAGTTCTCTGTTCTCCTATTCTTTCTAATGCCTCTTCATTTCTAACCTTCTGTAAAGAGGTTTCTAAATAAATTAAAAAAAAAGGAACTTCAACAATTACCGAGCCTTATGGAGACATCTTTCACCACTGTTAGTAATAAATTGTCCAGGTAAACTTAACGGCATATTTATTCATACTTTCAAATACCCATCTTTAAACTTTTCCACGGATATCCTGGTTGGTGTAATTTGAAATATTTTGTAACATTGAATAAATAAAACCACCTTGGTGTTTAATGTTTCAGTATATTTTTAAGAGTTATGATCTCCAATTGCCTCGGCTGTTTAGGCATTTGTTGTGTATTAAAAAGAATGGAAGAACAGAGGACTCTATAGAACTCAATAAGAAATAGGCGAGATAGGTTGGTAGGACACCTTCTCAGGCATGAAGAGCTACTCAGAGACATATTGGAGGCAGTTTAGATTACTGTTCGCAAATTGTTAAAGATACGTGATGTTCTAGTTCTCTAAACAGTGGAGTTGCGTGTCCAATCAATCTTAGGACTGACGACCTTCTGATGATGATGATTCTAACAGATCTAAACATTTACCTTTATTTTTTAAATTTAAAACAACTCTACATTTTGTGTATTGATAAAATGATGTTGCCATACGTGTATTTTTTGTTGAATAATAATGGTATTTTTATGTTCTTTAATTCTAATTTTAACTCTTCTACCAATACACCCTATATAAAATGCATCACATGCATTATAACGACGTAAAACCTTTAAATAAACTGAAACAATAAAAAACGAGATAATCAAAGTTGAATATTCACACACCCACTTTCATTTATTTAAAAATATGAAATATTATTGAGTCATTAATTTTAAGTGAATATGAATTCACCCGAAGGTTTCTAGTCGACGTATGGTAAATTGTAATTGTATTGATTAAATTGAAGTATTTAATACACAATACAATTATTTTATAAAAAGAAGATGTAGATCATAACGAAAATAAGATTCATGGAAATTAATTTTAATGGGTTTTTAATTTGATTGACCGAAATATTTTGAAAAAAAAAAAAGATAAAGTGTTTCTGAAGAAGTAGAGCATATATTCAAAAAAAATCTGCTTCGGAAGTTACTGCTAGGTATTTGTATTATTACAAAGTTTTCTTCCTATGATTACGGATCCAACATGAGGCAGACCAAATAATTTCTGCACAACAGGGCAAATTTAACTCTTTTTTAAAAATAAATATTATTTGTCATCAGTTTGTCAAAAGAATATTTTTCCTTGACAGTTAAATGTATATATAAAATTTTCAAACACAACTTTTCATTTTGTTTTGTTCTCTTTTTTTAAGGGATATTCCAGAAGAAGTTCTGAACACATACTGCTGGATCCACTCGACTTACACAGTTCTAGATGCTTTCAAAAGAAATTCTCTCAACAATGTTGCCTACCCAGGAGTGGATAATTCCTATAAGAAGGAAGAAAAATCACCTACAAAACAAGTCAGGTACTACCAGTGGGTGGCATTCATGTTATTCTTTCAGGTGAGTGACGTTAATTGAAAAGAAGCTTTTTACTTCCTTATTACGCCTCTTAAAACAAGCTTGTAAATGTTGGTCCCTTTGAATAATCATACATGCATAATCAGGTACGGTCGAGGGCAAGTTACTTTTGTCCTTAGACCAATAATTTTGCAACCCAAAATAGTGTCATAACTGTCGCATATTCGGCTATATTAGAATATTATCGCTATGAGTTAGAGAAACTATTTGAAAGCTAGATGTGCCTATAGCACTTTATTCTATCAAATACGTAGCATCCCTCAATGAGTAACAGTCCAATGTTACAGTTCAAATGAAAAACATCCATGAATAAACGAATTCATACAATTCATACAATCCATTTATTAAGAGTATAATAGGTAGGGTAGAGCTACTGAAGTACACTGATGAACAAAATTGGTTTTAGTTTTGCAGTCTTCGATCAAGACCGAGACTGAGATAGTCTTGATCCTGGTTTTGCTTTGCTCATCACTACTAAAATATTTGAAGCGTTAGATAAGGTCTTGCTACAGTATTTCAACTTTTCATTCAAATTCTTGATTTTAAGTAGCAAGAAAATCGGAAAAGCAATAAAATATTGCATTCGCGATACCTCCTTCTATTTACATATATTTTTTGGTAGCAAATATCACATTGTGATGATATATCGCACTATTGGAAATACAGCGTTCCTAATTCATTATTTATATTTTCATTTTCTGCCTGTCTACCCATCCACTTGCATATGTCGGTTTCACAGTTCGAAAATGATGGAGTGTGGCCCACTTTTTTTGTATTAGACGCCCTTTTCGTACCTTTATCAGTTATTATGTGCCACAATTCTTTATGAAATAGATAATCTTAAATGACATAAAATCGTATGTAGGTCTGATTTTAAATAAGATATGGAGACAGCAAAATATTTCTCTACAAATATACTGCCTATCTGTGCTCAAATTGGACAAAAGCATCAATAAAATAAAGATAAAAATCTGTAAATAAAGAAAATGGAACTGTCTGACTGCCCATTGATTGACTAACTCACTGACTGACTCGTTGACTGACTTACCGATTGACTAACTGACTGACTGGCTGACTGACTGACTGACTGACTTGTTGACTTACTGACTGACTGGCTAACTTATTAACTGACTGACTGACTGACTCGTTGACTGATTAACTGGCTGACCGACTGACTCATTGACTGACTGACGGACTAACTGACTAACTGACTGACCTGGTGATTTACTGACTGACTGACTGACTCACTGACTGATTAACCGGCTGACTCATTGATGACTGGCTTACTGACTGACTGATTCATCGGCTGACCGACTGACTCATTGACTGACTCACTGACGAACTGCCTGACTCACTGACCGCTGACTGACTGATAAACTAACTTGCTGACTTACTGTCTGACTGGCTGACTTATTGACTGACTGATGACTGACTGACTGACTCATTGACTAACTGACTAACTTATCAAACATTTTAAACTTTTTTTGTATTATATTTCTGCGTATAAATAAATTAATTATATGTGCTTTCCTATAATATATTTTAACATTTCAACTTCAATTCCTAAACTCTCTGCATTGACGTCTGCATTTCTCATTCCTCTCCTCTTTTTGTATTTCTTATCTTGAATATTTTTTCTTCTATTTTATGTCCAGAAAAGACAAAAATATTTTTTTTGCTCTAGTATGTTTTTAAGAACGAAACGGTTAAATCGTGACCTCTTACGTACGGTAAGTTCTTGATGTGACATTACCTGTTCTATGAGATCATAGAATAAGTCTCTAAATGTAATGTAGGAATTTCATCTTTTTTTACACCTTCTCTTTGAGGAACGTTTGTATCAGTATGTCTAATGGAAAGATGTTAAAAATGGTGAAGGAACTGCACACCTATCCACACTAACTACCACAAATAAAGAATTCTTAGCAGAAAATATATAGCGTTCGTGATAAATTTCATGTAGTTGAAATGAAAACAAAAACATTAAATTGAAAACAATAATATTTACAATCACTTCTATCCACAAAACAATTTAAAAATTTTATGATGGGATTTCCTAATGTAGTTTTAATGATTTCAAGGCAGATACATACCTAAAATAAATACCAGACTTTAATTTTAAATCAGTTGTTAATAGAGACGTTGCAATGAGCTTTAAATACCTTTGATTAATTAAAACAAAAAGCTCATTCCGAGTGGAAATGTAAGATCCGGTCCTCTCAGTACAGTACTTTCTTTGCGAATACTTTGATGCTGCAAAACCGAAGCAGCAAAAGTTTTTATCTAGATTTAAAGTCTTGGGCTGATTTATCTCCGTCGACTAATTAATCTTCAAGTTAAATTTTGCATCTCTTAAAGCTTTGATCTCAATGCATTAAACTAATTTAGCCTCTATGCAATGCGATTTTTATTACGGATTTAAAATTAATTAAACAGACTACAAAGTCAGTTTTTAAAAATAAGAAAAGCAGGTGGATGATAGAGTTAATTAAGTCTTACAATACAAATCAAAAATGTACTGCACCTGTACATAATTGTAACCTAATTACCCAAAAAATAATATTACAAATAGACGGTGTTCAAGATAGCTTCAACTGAAGATAATATTAAATTTACTTCTAGAATTTTGTTCCACCTCTTAGGATGGATAGTTTTGTTTAGAAATGAATGACGTATGAATTATTTATTATTTCTGAACTCTTCATAACCTGTTCTTAAAAATTTCATTGAAAATAGATGCTAATTGAAGTCTACAACATTTTATGTTACATTTTATAATATTTATTTAAATACGTCCATTCAAAGAGGTAAGTAACAAAAATTAAGTAGCTAGACTTTTCCCATTATGGAAAGGCATCCAGAAAATTATTTTCCAAACTGTTTTTGGGATATTATCATTCATTATTTACGTCCATGTAGCAGATTTTACCTCAACAAGTATCTATAGTTAGGGCATTCAAAATTGACATAGTCCACAATAAAACTGTCGCATTTACTTTCTTTTTAACTTACTAACTAGACTAGAGAGGTTGCTGACAGAACACCTACTCTTACTCACGACAGACGTTGTACGGAATATCGTAAACATAGAAAAGAGATGTCAGGTGGGAATTGCAGCGGGCACAAATAAAGAAAGAGGAATAACATTACACCAATTGATGTGTAACAGAAGGAGATGCAAAAAAGCAGAATTGGAGCATTTTGCAGCATCAGACTTTAAAGAAATTTTGAACAATCTCAGGAATCTAGGGAAGCAAGACGTGTGTTTAAAAATATAATTCCAACCAGGTAATTATAAAGCCGACCCTGATCTTTTGCGAACCTAAGCAACCTCTACCCGTTGCACCGCTCACTATTATTCGGTTATCTCTTTTCACTTTGTTTGTACTCTTCATGAAGCATCTCCTAACTTAACAAGGGCGTGTTCAAATCGCAGCAAATGACTGTCCTGTCCTGAGTGGAAACAAGAAAAAAAGATGTATCCATTCTCACAGATAATTTGTTGCGGACTTGGTCAATTAAAAACTTTTACTTTTAAACTTTTGGGTGTTTCATTCCCATCAGCCAGTAATGCTGGTGGGCGGGCAGTCCCTCCGGACTACGCCGGAAGGTAGGGCGGAAGGCCCTCTTCAGCCTGCTTTCAGGAATCGTGGGAATGGGTGGGTGGTGGTTCGGGTGAGAAAGATGAGACGGACGAAATGAACACAGAAGAGAGTGAAAGATTATCTGTGGAATATTACTGCCTCAGCATTTGCCTAGGTGATCCAAGGAAACCACAGAAAAACTTGGACCAAGACAGATGGACGGACCCGGAATCGAACCTGCGTCCTCCCGAATGCTAAGCAATGGTCTAGACCTCTAGGCCATGCCGCTCGGTTAATTCTGATCGCCCCAACTATATATAAATGTGGAAGAACAGTAACGTCGACGGTGAACAAACGTTAAGTTGTTTTCTGGGCTGTTTTATCATAGTCCATGAGATTTCGTAGTTCCAAACGTCGAGACTGACATCAGCACCTACCTTCAGTATGAAATGATGAAACATTTGTACTACGAAATTCCATGAACCACTAAAAAACCACTCCGAAAACAATATGGAATTGTTCCACACCGGCCGTGGAAGGTGTAACTCAAAAAATTTTAGAAAAACATTTTAAAAAATTCACTTATTAGATTTTTTCTTTTCCTTATTCCAATGTGTAAAAGATCAAAACTGAAAAAGGATTGTCAATATTCTTTGATACAAAAAGATTGATTTTAGTCTTGCATCAATAAAATTATTTACAACTCTATTGTGGCTCTTATCTAAAGAAACCATTTTGGCATGTGCCAGGCCCATTTTTTCAAATTGATACAGATGCAAAGGTTGAACTGAGAAAACTGTAACACAAAGCTACAAAAATAATATCTCAGTCACCTCAAACAGAAAAAAGAAAATATAAAATGAGTCTTTGACAATATTTTTATCAGCGGGTGATAGTGGTAGTAATCTAATAAGCTTATTACAACTTAAAATTAAACTTATGACAGATTCCGATTCTCGTAGGTATTAAAATTATTTCAAAAGAAACCGTTAGTCATGTAAAACTATTTAGTACTAAAATGATGAACTATCAACAGTTTAGCATTTCCTTGGATCCTTGGATTACTAAGCAATCTGCTCAAAAAGCAATTTGGAGATTGGATGCTATCTAGACAGTATTATAAAGACTTGTATTTGCAGAAATGTAAAAAATATTCTGTTTCGCTACCGTATGCATAATCGTATTAGAACATAAGCGGCCAATGACGCATTCTCAATTTTCTCGGATTCGGAAGTAAAAATATGCAGTTCCCACACCCACCCAATAGTTTAGTTGGACGAATAAACTCGAAAGTTTCAGTGCGTGTTGTTTTAAAATGTGTCCAAGTTGACGTGGCGATTGCTCGTAAACAATAACGGTAAAAATATTACTAACCTCTTAATAAAATTTACGAAATAT